CTGGATTCAACTTCAATTTGTTCGCCCTCATCCAGACCGTCACAGCGGCCAGGCACCGGTTCAGGACCTCGAGAGCCTCCTTAGTAGCGGGTGGGAAGGAGTGACAGAGTTGGACATCATCTGCGTACAGGTGACACCGTACCTCGAAACTCCGGATGATCTCACCCAGCGGCTTCATGTAGATGTTAAACAGCATGGGAGACAGGATAGAACCCTGAGGAACCCCACAAGACAAAGGCTGCGGGGAAGAACAGGTGTCCCCCAATAACACCTTCTGGGAACGACCCTCCAGAAATGACCGGAGCCACTGTAAAACAGTGCCTCCGAGACCCATTTCCGCAAGGCGCCCCAGAAGGATACCGTGGTCGACGGTATCAAAGGCCGCTGAGAGGTCCAGAAGCACCAACAGGGACACACTCCCCCTGTCGAGCTCCCGGCGCAGATCATCCACTAAGGCGACCAAGGCTGTCTCAGTTCCATGCCCCGGTCTGAAACCAGACTGTGCCGGGTCCAGATAATCCGTGTCTCTCAAGAATACCTGGAGTTGTGAGGCCACCACGCTTTCCACAACTTTGCCCAAAAAGGGAAGATTGGAAACAGGCCGAAAGTTGTCAAATTTAGTGGGATCTAGTGATGGTTTCTTCAACAGTGGTTTTATTATAGCTTGTTTTAAGCTCGCTGGAATTCTGCCTTCCCGAAGGGAGGTGTTAACCACCACCTCCACCCACTCAGCCAATCCCCCTCTGGCCTCTTTTAGAAGCCAGGATGGGTAGGGGTCTAGGATGGACGTGGTCGGCCTCATTCCTCCAAGTATCTTGTCCACATCCTCGGGCTTCACCAATTGGAATGAATTCATCAAAATAGGACAAGCAGGTGCTCTTGTTACATCCACAGAGACTGCATTTAACATGGTGTCCAGACCAGAACGGATCAAAGCGACTTTGTCTGCAAAGAACCGAGCAAAAGCTTCACAGCGAGAGGTCGAATTGTCAGGGATCCCACCTTGGGTGGTGGGATTCAAAAGACCTCTGACAATTCGAAACAACTCAGCCGGACGGTTCTTTGCAGACGCAATAGTGGCCGCAAAGAAAGCCTTCTTTGCGGCTTTTATTGCCGCGGCATATGCCCTCAGAAAGGACACAAACCGTGTTCAATTTGGCTCACTCGGGTCTGAGCGCCACACACTCTCTAGTTCCCTCTTCCTTCGCTTCATCACTGCCAGCTCCTCGGTGAACCAAGGTGCT